GCCTCCACAGATGTTCGGGCTGTCTACCTAAACTTCCCAAATGGGCCACAGTGGCCAGAGTGCGCAACGGCTCCTTGTGCACTTTGTTGTAGCCAATATTTATGCAGCTGCCACCTCTTTCACAGTTTTTTGTACTAGCAGTTCTCCCGTAGCAAGAGTTTTGTCGTATAAAACACTACACGGTATCCCTGACACGGAGTCATAAATAATTCTTGGCGCTCAAACGCGGAAGGCAACGAGACGTTCGTCACTTCATTGAACGCGAATGGTGTAGCTGACGTGACGTCGGTGACGCCCGCGGGTTTGTCGTTGCAAGAATCACTCAACCGACTTCATGACAACCCTGCTTAATTTTCTGGCATGAAGTCATCCCCGCACGTTTTCTCCTTTTTTTGTGACCTGCTTGTCCTGGTCAACGCTTGTGGCGATGCACTCTGGCAAACCGGGAAAAATGTGATGCAATGCCCCTGGCGCCTCTTTTTCTCGAGGTAGACATATTTATTTTCCATTTTTATTGTGCTTTATTTTACAATGTCATTCACCTCAAAATGTCTCACATGCCTTGGACTTAAGAGAGAGCTGCCTTTTCTTGCGGCTCGGCATCTGTTCCCACTCTTCCCGCGACAGCGTTAAAGAGCTCGTTTCACAGAAATTCTGGTGTCGGCGTCGGCCTAGTTGGTTGTGAGTGAAATATTATAATCTTGGATATGATGTAAAAATTTAAATATTGAGATGAAATAAAATTTAAAATTTGTGAGTCACAGTGGGGATCTCACCCGGGGCGTTTCTGCAGAAAGCGGGTGTTGTACAGCACAGCCACGTGCCTGTTTTTTATAACATTTTAATTTCAAAGTACAAAATTTATCTTCATAAAACCACATTGGTTCATTCCACTATTTTGGTGGTTTAGAAATATTTAATTCCCACTAATTAATCAAACACCTTCATACAATCTGGAGGTTCATTCAACGTTCTAGAAGATTTTGATTAGGATCCATAAGCCTCATGGCCATGCGTATTATCCAAAAGCTGTAAAGTCCCAGTGAGAGTGAGATATCGTATAGAAGACCACCCTCAATCTGTAATTATAGATAACGTATTCCTGAGGTGTTATCGGCAGATCTTTCTTCAAGGCTCTTTGTAACACGTACTAAAAATATAGGATCCAAGAAGTATATGATGGCCCCGCCACGGTGGTGTAGTGGCTAAGGTACTCGGCTACTGACCCGCAGGTCGCGGGTTCGAATCCCAGCTGCGGCGGCTGCATTTCCGATGGAGGCGGAAATGTTGTAGATTTGGGTGCACGTTGAAGAACCCCAGGTGGTCGAAATTTCTGGAGCCCTCCACTACGGCGTCTCTCATAATCATATGGTGGTTTTGGGACGTTAAACCCCACATATCAATCAATCGAGTATATGATGGCGTGTTTAATCGTTTCCGTTTCGTTACACAAAGTGCAGTTTACGTCCGTGCAGGAGCGTAGCCAGGGGTTGGCACAACGGGCCACGCCCTGGCAAGAAATGGTCATTTCAAGCGGGTGCCATGCCCGAAGTGAAGAAGCTTCATGCGTTTATGGTATAAATATGCCTTTGTCTTTCAGCCACATATCCACAAGCAATATGCTCATGTGTAACTTGGAGAAAAACGATTCTATTGATCTCCTGTCGGTCTCTTCACTCTCTTTCGTATGTTTTTCCAGGGGCATTCTTTTTAGGGGCGAAGCTCCTTAAGGCGTGGGCTGTGCGTCCCCTGTATGTAGCCACCTCTCGTTCAGTTCTTGCAGTGTTCACTAGATGGCGGTACTTGTAGCTGACGGCATTAAGTATTACGCTAGCCACCGCCCGATCTAAAGGGTACAGCCATATCCGTCCGTCCGTCCGTCCGTCCATCCATCCATCTATCCATCCATCCATCCATCCATCCATCCATCCATCCATCCATCCATCCATCCATCCACCCATCCATCCAAAAGACGCAAGATGTTATAAACTAGACGGCGGTACGTGTAGTTGATTATGAAAGATGCGAGGTGTTATAAAATAGGAATGATGCCACATATGGCGCGTGTCATCGTTCGATATAGTGCGGCGACGTACGCTAGGGGGAGCGTTGCAATAAAATTGAGTGGGCAAAATGTACGGAGGATTCATGGTTTACCAGGTTTATCTCCGGAGCTTCACCCACTCATCATCATTCACTTCGTGGATGTGGCGGCACTTTTTAGTTATCGCTATACTGCTGTGAGCATCGTTACATCAATCAAGGAAGTCTATGTACAGTGTTTTTCTTGGTGCAAGGCACGCGTCTGCTTGTGAATACAGTGAAACTAATCTCATCTGCTTAAAAATACAGCGAAAGCAACTTTCATGCTTTGCAATCACACGCGGCCTGTATAGCTGCTTCACAGTACGACGTGAATTGTTGCTGTAATAATGTGTGGTACAAGCGTACATTGCCATCGGGTGTCAGAACATGCTCTTGTTGTTCTCCTATTGTTAGTGGCGCATACCCACTGTGGGGGATTGACCAAGAATCGAGTGGTTTTAAAATTTACTGTTCGGATTTGGAATGATGGAGGTATAACAGAAAGATTACCGATAGCCTAGGCAAGTGAGGTGCTTAGTGTAGTGCATGCAAATATTTACATAAACGAATTTATTCTTGGAATAGAGCAATAATCTGATTTTATACGTATATAGTTATGTAGACATGTTAGGATAATGAAACTACTTAATTAGTCAACCTATTAGTTTCATCAATATAGTCCCGGAAGGCCGCGCATACTGTCCCATTAGAGAAACCAGAAATGGAAGCTCCAAAAGACAAAATGACAGGCAGAGATAAGTCTATACCAATACCACGCAAAGTTATTTCTGATAGGGTTTTTCGTAATTTGTTAAACCGCCTGCAGGTCAAAAAGAAATGGTCTATTGTTTCCAGTTCATCGCAGAATGCGCACAGTGGCGAAGGTGCCTGAGCAGACCTGTGTTCATAGAAATTTAGATTTGGTACCCGGCAACGCAGCCTTGTGATAGCTACTTGTTTTCGAGTGCGGCAAAAATCTCTTCAGAACATGCGATTATCATACTGGCTTGATTGTTTAAAGCCGGTCACCCACTACATTAGACACACAGGTTACTGCGCCAATTCGCTTGAGGCCGCAATTTGGGTGCATAGAGACTTAGAAAATTTTTCATGCACTAAGAGTTTGATAGACGCACTCGGTACAGGATATCGCTATCGCGTTCAACTTTTAAAGGTGAGTGTTAAGGGTCCCCCATATTTTAAAACTCATCGGGATCCCATGTTGGCTTAAAGAAAGCATGGGCGCTGTCATTTCTGTAAACGCTTTTGCATCCTGGCGCAAAACAAGAAAACACTGGTCGTTGGCCTCCTTCGTCACAAGTTGGAACTCTTTCGTAAGAGACAACAGTTCACTAAATAATGGCGTGAAAATGCAAGCTAGTGCTGAAAACTTGATGCCGTGTTTGAGCGGCAGCTCACGCATTGCAACGCGCGGCACAGCATGTGAAGAAAAACGAAATAGCAGTGCCATAGTTCAAGCGTCAGCCGCTTATGACGGCGCGAGCACGGAGCTGCGGAACAGACCTGTTTCTAGTACCGTTGCCCAATCGGGTACCATTGTAATAAAGGCTACAGACCATGACTATTTGATATCTGCGTATCTGATTTTGTCTTGGCACTATAAGAATGAGGTCCTTCCATGAGGCCCTCTGAAGTGGGGCCTTGTGTCCAGTCATATTCACAAACCGAGCGAAAGATAATGTCTGAATACTGCACAAGCGCTCGGATGCTTATGGCACGAGCCCTCAACTGCGTCCTCGTGATAAGTGAACGCTTTTTTTATTAGCTGTAGCGTGAACCACAACGTCTATCGTACACTCGTTTGTGGACACTTTGTTGATCAATTTGAAAGTCATTTCAATATATTAATATATATATATATATATATATATATATATATATATATATATATATATATATATATGTATGTATGTATGTATATATATATAGTTGCAGCGAAAAAGTAACGCTGGCCCCGGTAGAATAAGGAAAAATAGAGTACGACGCAAGTGGGTTTTGCACGGTATATTCTGACTGACGTTTCGGCACTATATATATATATATATATATATATATATATATATATATATATATATATATATATATATATATATATATATATATATATATATATATATATATATATATATATATATATATATATAGTAGAATAGTAGATTCTTTGATTTGAACGTCATTCACGCTGGACCCGACGTATTGTATGCAGGAAAGAGACGACGAAACTTTCACGGAAGTGTCCTTACCTAACGTTTTCAGCAGGTGGACCAGCCTTCGAACCAGCCTTCGTCAGAGAAAAAGAGGAAGGCAGGTCCACCAGGTGAAAACGTTAAGTAATGACGCTTCCGTGAAAGTTTCGTGTATATATATATATATATATATATATATATATATATATATATATATATATATATATATATATATATATATATATATATGTTTCAGCCAAGGACCAGCATTCATCGGAGTGACTTCGAAAAAGGCTGGTCCCGCTACCGGAACGACGCTTTTTTTTCTAAACAATTTTTTTTCAGTATCCTTTCTAAGCTTTTGAACTATACATATATATTAGATTGACGTGTGTGTGTGTGTGCATTGTGAGAGAAGGTCACGCTGCAAGCAAACCCTTTATTTACACTTGAACCTGAGCCCCATTACTCAGACCGAAGCGTTCATGACGATTATCTATAGGTGATAAGATGAACTGTTGATTGATTGATATAATGAATGTTGAAAAATATCCTTTAAGGAAAAGAACTGTCGTTCCGGTCGCGGGACCAGCCTTCTTCGACGTCACTCCGATGAATGTTTATTCCTTGGTTGTAACGACTATATATATATATATATATATATATATATATATATATATACAACTGTCATACTGCTTTATTATGCAGGTGACGACGCTGGCAAGTGTGCCGACCCGCCTTCACTACTACCTGTCAGATATCGAGCGGACCGGCACGGTCCTCCCATCAATTCGCAAGCTTAACGTGGGCGGCACGGTGTTAACGTCCTCTCTGGCTGACCGTCTGCTGGCCGCTTTCCCAGGTTTGCGTTGCCTGCGCAACCTGTACGGAATGTCGGAATCTTGTAGCGTCCTTTGCGCGCCACCCACAGATGAGATCAGCGCTGCCAACATCGGCTTCCCAGGACCTATGGTACAGCTCATGGTATGAAAGCCTTCATGAAACGCTCGCTTGTATCACACTCAAGTTGTCCGCTTCATTTTTGAGAGTTCAATCTGATTTCATTGAACAGGTTTAAATGGCTACAGGTCTACAATGGAAACAATGGCTAAATGGATAGAGGTCTAAATGGCTACTTCAATGAATGTAAGAGTGTTAATTAAAAGGTGCTTTTTGAAACATGCCGACGGCTATAATAGGTTGTAAAAAAGGAGTAAGTGGTTCGATGACTCAGTTGCTCACAAATTAACGATTTTAGCCAGAATGCATTCATCTAATAGTACCATTTAGCGCCTTCGCCTCGTAGTCGAAGATAGCTGCTGTAATATGCCGTAAATCACGGCCAAGATAAGCGTGGAACCTTAAGCTCCACCATCAGGAGCTGAATGCAAAATTGATAATGTGTCCTTATTGCGTACTTCAGCCACCTAGCGCATGAATCTAACTTTATGATATTCGAGAAGCTTATCTTCTGGATTACTTCTGTGTAGTTGTAAAAGATGAAAGTGGCTTGTGTCAGTAACGCTTTCGCATACGGCTGTATGCTGTGAAATATAGCTGCAGGCTTTAAACCACATTAGCATGAAATGTGTTTGTACTTTCTACGCACCCACTGCGCAGTCTTCAGAAAATGCGTGGAGAAGCGTCAGAGGCTTTTGTAATGGTTGGCCAGCTTTATTAATCGAAGTCATTCTCATAACCACATGATCTGTTGCCCGATTTCAATGTACGCTGTAGTTGCATTGATACGTGTATCCGTGTGAAATCTGCAAACAGGATGCGTGTGTTTGTAAAGAGAGAAATTTATTTTCACTTCTTTTGCAACTAGAAAAAGCTATTTTCGCTGTATTGCCAAGCAAAATATTGGCTGTGTCATGACACATTTGTTTGCCACGCAAACGGAGTTGATTTGATACTCACTCGGACCTAAAACTTCTAATTACTGAATTTACTTCTCGACATTTCTATTTCTCGGTAAGAGACAAAATAAATCAATCAATCAGTTCTTTATTTCAAACAAGCGTATGTGTCGGATACAAGAGAAAAAGACAGAAGTGCTCCGCCTGACGCGGCCCCAGCACCTGAATGCACCCACTCAGAGCATTGATACACACAATATCATACGCCATTTCTACATGAAAAACACAGTTCAATACTGGGTTAACAAAATTGATGTTTTTACAGTGTTAAACAGATTCTTAATACCACAAGGTATGAAACCAGAACATGAGACTGCTATATAGACAACAATATGCATAATGCCCACTATACGTCACAACGATACTGGTTACACTCATGATGAAGAAAAACAAGCGTGTTCCAGACCACATACTCGCTTTCTGCCATCAAAGCCTAGCAGTTCTAGTTACCCATCCTACGCCATGACCGGTAAGTTCCCGGTCGGCACTAGGAATCGAACCCGGTACCTGCCACACTAGAAGCGGACGCTCGAACCATGTAGCCACTGTTGCCACTGTAGGGTGTACCGGAATTCAACCCCGCCTTGTTAAAATAGATGAGCGTCCGCGGCTGCTTTGGGAGTGTTGCGACCGACGCCTGGGCTGCCAAGAAAGCAGCGTTCTCTTAATCCTCCAACAAGTGTCAGAACGGCTGGACACCTATGTCCGCCATGTGTTGTCCTTCCTAGCCGGGAAGCGAAACGCCATGTTGTAAGTTCTGTAAGCCGCTTCACGAGATGACGACAACCGTATACGCGGTACCAATATATTCCTTGGAGAGGACGGCGGCAGCAGCCGCAAATCACCCCGATAGGAGAGCGAGCAGTTAGGCGGACCTTCTGAGTTACTACGGTGGCCCTTTTGATGTACGCTGTCATGAGCTTGGTGCCCCTCGCCCAGCACCACACGTACGACGAGGAAGAGTCACGCTGGTGCCACATTGCAGTGCTGTGACCACGCCTGAAGAAATGTAGTCGTTACCTTCAGAAACGACCACGTTTCTGAAGGTAACGACTATCCTTTTACAATATGTGAGTACCATGTCAAGAAGAACTTGTCGGCAAACTGTCTCTTTGCCAAAAGTATCGTACAGTGGAACCCGCTACGTCAAGAGCAAGTGTGCTGTTCTAATGAAGACTTGTTTGCTTGCTTCCTGTAACCCCGTGCTATAACGCCTTCGGGCAATGCAGCGTAATCCTTGGAGGAAGTATACGATAAGCCGGCAATGTGTAACAAAGAAAAAAAGGCGTTTGTGGCCTGTATATGGCTAATTGTTTCAAGTTTTAGCACTTTTTACTACATAAAAAAGTCCAAACGAACATAAAGCACATGTGCGTCGCCGCATCGCCAGCCTCTGTTTGATTCACAAGTTTTTTCACAGTTCCCTCAATCAAGCACCTTGCATCATCCCACCGACGCGCATATCTCACCGCACAACCCATCCTTATTCAATCGCACGCGCACGCGCTCGCACTACTACTTTTGCTGCCTCATTTTTTATTCGCACAGCAGTGGACTGGAACGGCCTTCCCCGTTACATTGCAGCCATCACGTGTGTTCATCAACGTTTGCCAAAACATAAATACATATTGTTTGTCAGAAGATCACTCTCTGTAACCTCCATTTGTTAACCCACCCCTTATGTAATACCCCCTCACCGGGGTCTTTAAGGTAATAAAGTGAAGTGAAGTAAAGTGAAGTGAAGTGAAGTGAAGTCTCTAATATATTATTCTGTACGAGCAAACGGTCTTGGTCAAAACAGCTTTAAGAGCGCCTATAGCTGTGAACGCGAGAACAAAAGAAGTCTTGTTTGCGATTTTAGTGTTGGTCATTGCGCGTTAGGTCATTTATGTTACATTGCAGCAACTAGCTGTAAACCACCCTATTGCAACAGATTTGGCTAAACCTAATGTGAACGTCACAGCAGCTTTGAATTGGGTGTGTCATTTGTGGCGTATACAGATGGCTTGGTTGAAGATGGCTTGGTTATGCGTTACGACAAAAATGACGTCCACGCATTCTAAAGCATCCCGCGTTTCATATCATGCCATACTCGATTCCATCATTCTAGGTTAAGACAAAAAATGCAAGCCATTCTACAGCTGGCTCTTTGAAAAGCCCGGAATGGCAGCTACAACCACCGAATGAATCAAAGTTGGGCTGGAAAATATGAAAAAATAAAAAATACCAACTTCTCCCCTTTCACACTTTTCTTCAATGTATACTATTAGGCAGCAAATAGTGAGCTCGCAAGTTGTGGAACTGTAAGACAACCTGAAGCGTAGTTTAGTAATTCGGAAACAAACTGTCGGGTGCTGCATTCTAGAAAGTGTGAAGTCAGGTGCTGAGCACTAGTCAGGCGGAGCAGATCTGCCTCTTCCCCCTGTGTGCGAGTGTTTTTTTTTTCGGTCAGAAATACTTTATTTAACGCTGCTGGAATAAAGATGTTGTAATATCACGAAGCGTGTAACAGTGTGCTGTGAATGTAGGTAATCGACCTGGAGACAGGAAGGAAGCTTGGGCCACACGAAAACGGGGAACTATACTTCAGGGCTCCGAGCGTCATGAGAGGCTACTACAAGCAACCTGAACTGACAGCCGCTTTTATGGACAAAAATGGCTGGTGTAAAACTGGTAATGTTCTTTATTATCGTACTCGACGATGGTTGAGACCTGATGAGTTTAAATAGGGCCTTTCTTCATAGAAACACAATTTACCTCATGGACTCCCTTCCCCATCTGCATCTTTTATGGCTTGCTTCAGTTTAGTAGTATGCCTCGAGTGGAGATGGAAAGCTTTGTAACTGCAATGCTACGTTGTCTATCAACTCGAAGAGGCTTTTTAGTCTACCTTCATTCATTGGTGGAGGGTTGTCGGCCTCTCCTCCATTTACATCAAATCAACTGCATTCACAAATTTGGAAGAGAGCACTAAAACTGCAGGATTGGTAGAAATTCTTCATTCCGAAAATGTTGAAAGCGACCGGCCTGTCGCTGCATGTCAAGAGAACGAGAAACATCGCATGAAGTGATTAATGCAAGAGACGCGGGCAACCTCACCGGTTCGATAACAGTGGTCTGCTGGAGCTACAAGGGGAGTGAGGCGATATTTCACAGTTTAGGTCTTCTGCCAAACAGTGCAAGGCCTGAGAAACCGTGACTGACACTAGTCACTCAAACGAGGTGTGGGAATTGATGTGAAAAACAACACCTATAGTCACCAAATTGGAATGATACAGCATAGAGCACTCCACTGGTCAAAATTTCCGGCCTGGGTCCGGCCTGGCTCAGCCCAAAAACCTGATGCTCCGTCCCGTCGAAGGCCATCCCATTGCTTATAATTATGCCCCGTACCCAGCCCAGGCCCAAAACGTTTGTGCGCGGCCCGGCTTCTTTCCGCCAGTTATGCCTTAGGCATAAACGAGGCGCGTACAAAATTCGGTTATTGTGAAAATACTTGTCGGTCACGAGGTGTATTCTGGTGAGTGTTTTAGGACTTCTTTAGGTTGAACAACTTTCACTGGTACTTTGTACACGTTGGGTACTCTCGCGCTCTGTATAGTCTGTAAGGGCCGTTCGCCCCACAGGTTGCGAGATCGAATCGCGGCTGCGGCGGCTGCATATCTGATGGAGGCGGACGTGCTTTAGGCCCGTGTTCTCAGATTCGGGTGCACTTTAAAAACCTCAAGGTGGTCTAGATTTCAGGAACCCTTCACTACGGCGTCTCTTCAATACGGCGTCACTACGTTAAACCAAGCATATCAATCAAGGGCCGTTCCACGCGCTACCCACACAGCCACACCGCATGTGCTGGGACGCCTGCAGTACGCAAGCGTGGGGAAGATAAGCCTATTGGCGATACTCTTTAACCCTCTGCTTAGGTGCGACAGGTGTACTGGCACTTGCGTTGCGGCTGCGCGGCTAGCGCATGGAATGGCCCTAAAAATATCGCAAAATATTCGCAGGGTAACATAAAGTATAACTACAGTCATATAATTGGACAGAGGCGTAGCAATTTGTCAACGTTGGAACCCTTGCAGCCTGAGGATATGCCAGGGTCTCTCACGGCGGGAAGCGTCACGAAATTAGTTGCGGCCGGTGGTTTGGAAGACAGGGCAGGAGGTGCGGCGACAAGAGAATATGTAGTAGAATCCTGAAACGCCATGTTAAAGGCTGCAAGTGAGCGCCCGCTGTGGTGCACTGTGCTAACTGACTGTAATGTAACAGCTTCAACAAATGTGTGACGGGGAAGGAAGAGTCAGAAGGCTCAGACTTGAGAGAATACGCATATATCTATCTACAAGTGGTTAGTCGGGGAACGCTGCAAATAAAAAGACCTCGCGCCATTCTATCCCTTGTTGTCCTCTTCCGCCCCTTGTTAATCAATGTGCATTTAGTATAAATAAATAAATACATTGAAACAAAGCCCGTACGCTGGGCCAGCTCTTTGTCACTTCTTGAAACTTTTCCTCTACCGGGCTACTATACCTGAGCAGTGCTGTTGTCACCATTCCACTCAGCCACGCTGCGTGCATGCAATGCTGCCAAAGGTGGCCCTTTACTGACACAGGGTGTCTCTTCGAAAGTGTAAACATGAAGTTGACCTAGGCTATGAACCAGCATAGGCAGAACTAATGCCTCTGGCGCGAGGAATAGGCAGACTCGCAGAGGCTGATGACGGCTAAAGTGCGTCTTAAGTTGAAAGTAAGGTGATGATGCCTCTGTTCGACGCTATTGACTTTGTCGTGCCAGTCATGGCGTCTTGCTTTGAGAGTCGGGCAACGAATGGCGCTGCTCTGGTGGAAGCCATTGTCTTCGTCGAGCCAGTCGTATGCCTATTAGGAGAGCAGGCAAATTCTTGCATAACAAAGTATACATGCGAGTTTCGACAGGTTGCATTACTTGGCTATAATGGTTTGACGTCGCAAGCTCTGTGCTGCTGTCACCTCACTGTTGTTGGCCGCGAGGAAGCAGGATGATGTCTGGTGGTTCCGTACAGTGGTGTTCATACAGGTTAACGCCACCATATCTGTACACCAAGCCGCAGACGCGAGGGTTTTATGAAAAGGTTGTCTTGCTGCTTCGCGTGAGATGGTCGCCGTCTGGCCGATGCGCATCGCAGTCCCCGTTGGTGAAGACTGCCTCATTGTAATCCACACGGCACTCAGCTGGTAAGCTTGGAGCCATGCTGACGTGCCCGTCATTGCTAGCAAAGACACACGCCGGATTGATGCCGTAAGGGGTGATGCTGGCTTCATCTGCTTGCGGTGCGTCGCGAGCTTTGGGCAAGCCGCGGTGAGCAGATTTCATATAAGCAGACGGACCTTGCATAAGTGTGTCATCAGCAGCCTTAGAATTATAGAGCGAAGCACTTGCAGCCTCGGCGAATGGATTCCACGCAGTTGGTATATATGCCTCCGGCTGCCCACTGACGCTTTTTGTCGTTGCTAGCCATCCACTGTTCTTTTAACATGGTATTTTGAGGCCAAGAAAATGCTCTGATTCGGAGGGGAGCTTTATCCTGCCACGGTTAGTAATGAGCTGAACGTCACTAAACAGTAGGTAGTCAGCTCCCTAAATTTTGCATGCAAGTCATAGAGCACTGGAACGGCAGCAAGGATGCTGCTTCAGTTTTTGGTGTGTATCTGCAACCCAAGTGCTCCGACAGGCAATGCGTTCCAGCTGAGGCCACGCAGGGTTGATTCAGACGAAGGCTCGACGGCGACTGGGGCATATCGGCGATGAAGAGCAGAACGCGAGTCTCCCGTCTACACCACAGCCATGAGCTTATCGATTCTGTCGACGCGGACCTGCACCATCGTAATAGGCCACGTATGGTTTTCATGAACTCGGTGTCCTGCATTCGGTGGTACCACGTCATCGGTCTGGTAACCGGAAGTTGCGGGAAGTCTTTTTTCTGGACTGGCTGTGAGAAGAACTCAAGTACAATGCTCATAACTGACGCCTGAACGACGTGAACTACGAGATTGTTCCTGACGGTAATTGTAGTTATAAGCGCTGAAACCATTATTCTGAAGTCGTGAACGTCATGCGTATAAACTGTATTTATCTAGTTAGCTAGCTCCCAATATCTGTATTGGGGTGACCACTCCATAAACCTGGTAGAGTGCCTAAGGTGCGCATCTTGACGATGCCTCTTTTGGAAGGAGCCAAATATCACAAGCTTGCGGCAAGAAAGGCGATACTAGGAGTGCATGTGCCGTCAAGGGCTATGCAAAGCCCTTGATGG